AAAACATTGAGTTCATGTGGCAGACACAATATCAAAAATTGTCTACTAGATTTGGACATGGAACAAAAGATAGGGAATAAATGTATGATATATCAGTAATTTGTAATACACTAATATACTAAGATATCTATACAAATCTACGGTATTAAACAAATCATACGTAGATATTGACGGCCATCACTTTTCGACGCACCCACTCCCCACTTATGTCGCTGACTAATCCGTTAGAAGACATTGATGATGAACTCCAAGCAATGGCGCGGTACTATCTGAGTCCAGACCCTATCCCAATGGTGTCAAGTGAGATCTTGTCACAAAGCCAGAACAGTAAGCAAAAGAAACAAAAGCGAAATGAACGTGATCGTCAGCGCAGCTTGGCTAAACGACAATCGATGACGCAAATGCGTCAGCAGATGAAAGACCTTGAGCAGCAGAAGCAGCAGCTCATTGAGCATACCCGCGAACATAGTACGAAATCAAAGAAGCATCCATTGAATTCTATGTATCCGTCTCCATCGACGTCCATCAAACGCGAGAATTTTGTGCGGCTTAGTCACGAGATCGAAGCGTTTCGACGCCAAAACGCCATTCTGACTGAGCAACTGCGTGAGCGTGACTTGGGCGCTGGCTACATGCAGAATCTCTTGCTTGATTTTAGTCCAGACGAGACAGATAACGACACGCACAGTAACAGTAGCGAGAGTGACTCGAGTTCTAATTTCTATACAAGCACGAAGAGAAAGAGTCACTTGCTGCCTCGGCTTTTTAATGATGACTCAAAGGTGTACTTCACGCCACTAACACGTGAAGAGGGTATTGCATGTGTGCGCCAAACCCTGCAGCTTGTACATAATGCCCAAGCTCTCTATGCAAACGATGTGCACTATAACAATCGTTTAAAGTTTTTCGGTTGGGGGCAGTATACGCTACGACAAGGTTCGACCATTACATTTTCAGTCAAGAAGACGCTTAAGAATATAACACCGACACAGCTTATGGCTACAACGTGGAATTTGCTTACAGATGGAAGAAGAACTCAGAAATTGATTCCATCAAGTGTTAATACCCACATCCGACCAATACAAAAGCTATCAGATGATCTTTTTGTAATCGACCGTCGTAGCGAAGACAGTTCACGCTCTGGTGTCTCCGGTCAGAAGCTTGCATTACGTACGATATATGTATTATTTCGTGTTTTAGACAGTGATGGCACGCGAACACTAGCGATGAAAACCATTAATTTGCCTTTGGTGAAGAAAATGTTGCGCGAGGATGAAATGTGGTGCGAGATCTTCTATTGGATTCGAATGTCTCCCGACGGTACCAACGACTCGCCAAGTGATGTTGCGACTGTTGCTGAGTTTGGCGGCTCAAATGCATATACACGCGACGAAATTGCTGAATCCTGGCTTCGAGAGCTTGTATTTCTTGCCATTCGCTGGGAGACGCTTGCTGTAGCTCCTACTCTATTGCATTTTTGAGACAAAGTATTGTATCTAAATCAAAATGGTAATCTGTAATTTGCTATACACTTAATAAAAAAGAACAGCTAAACCATAATAGTAGAACATACAACCGATTACATGTTTTATGAATAGTCGTGTCATTTCAGATTAGTAGCTAAGTTATCGCTGACAAGAAATTCCTATTGTCCTCAAACACGATACCAAATGAAGCATTTACAATTGATATGTTATTACAAACTCATCTTTAAGATCGGCTTCCAGCCCAATAAGGTCGTTAATTTTTAAGGCTCTGTATATTAAGACTTGGTCTCGTCACAGTCGGTTTAAGCTTTAGGACCCGACCGAGCCGGTCATTATGGCAATGAAGACAACGTAAATTATGTCTGTCAATTTCAGTAAAACTTCTTAAACATCTTGGCTCAGCAATGGTCATAAATGGGTAATTTCTAATCAATCTGAGCACATCCATTTAAATCAAAATTTCAAAAAGCAAACCGTACTCTATTTCTAGTTAGGATAACATTTTAATGTTGACCTAGTCCTTGTGCAGATTTATACCTAAAAAAATAGTCATCATTGGATGTAGAAATAATTCATTACAGTCGCTATACATTTTGCTAGGAAGCAAGTTAGTTCAGTGTTTTTAACATGCT